GCCAGGGGGGCCCCTCCCCACTGCCTTCCCGGAGCCCGGGGGGGGGACCCTACCCGCAGTCCTGGGCTCGTGGCTGCCACGAAGCCCCGCCACCTCGCACGAGAAGCACCATTCCCACCGGGGACAGCCCAACCTCACCTTTGTTCAACCCATGAACCCCTTTGTTCATGGGTTGGAGCCATCCAGAGCGCTTCTTGCAAGTGCCAGTGTGCCCTGGCCACCTTCCAGGAGCATCATGATAGTCTGCCCCCCCCCCCCAAAAAAAAAACCCAAAGTATTTTGATCAATTAAAGAAATTTGTCAGCAGTAAACTGAATACCAATCCCAGGCTGCCAGCACACTCCGTTCTGCAACCACCTTCCCCAGCAGGACACAGGCGTAGGACGGGAACCAGGTCACAGCTGCCATGACCTACTGCCCTCTCCCCTGGGGGCAGAGGCGGCAGGACGTCACCTGGAGCGTGGCCCAGCCGGATTCCCCTGGGATCTGTCTCGTGGCCGAAGGGGAGCCCCATTTGCCTTGTCCCCATTACCCTAATATCGAGGTAGATGCGCTGTGATGAGGACGGGAGATGGGAGGGCGATGCTGGGCTGGCAAAGCAAGCCTGGCACGGGTACCACACATGCCCAAGGAGATGGGGGATGCAGATCACCAGGCATTAGCGGAGCTGGGAGCACTTTGGAGTGTCACCGTCGCTTCCCAGCCACACGGAAGGAGCGAGGTCCCTGCAGCCCAAAAGCAGCTCTTGTTTGGGAGAACCGTGGTGCACAAAGTGCAGCTGGCAAAAGAGCTGCCAAGGCCGTGTGGGCGAGTGGGCACAGTGACACGGGGTCCTCATCGGGGTGGAAAAGCTCGAGGTCAGGCTGGGGAGCGGCTTCCCAGAAGGTGAAACCTCTCCCGAAGCCATGAATGCGGCTGGAAGCGGAGCCGTGTTTTGTAAACAACCAGGGATCCTGCACAACCTGAAAAAAACAAGTTGGAGGCAGGAATTTTCCGAAGACGAGAGGATTTGCAAAGAGCCAGATCCAGCGTCAGCGCTCGGCTGGATGCTCCACGCTGCCAGCAGAGCCGTCCTGGGGAGCAGCCCTGGTACTTCCCGAAGGAGCTGCTCCAGCCACAGCACCCTGGGAGCAGAGAGGTCCTGCCAGGAGCCGGGGAGAGGTTTGGGCTGTGCCCACCATCCAGCTGAGGTGCGTGGAAACCCCCCGCAGATGGAGGATCAAAGCCTGAGACTAAGGCTGATCCCACCAACGTGGCATCAGATGCACGGGATGATGGGCACAAACGGTTGTCTGTGTTTTACAGCAGCAAAACATAAGGAAAGATCAAAAAAACGTCCTTGCTCACGGCCCGAAGTAAGTTGGAAACAAGGGATCAAAGTCCTGGGAGGAGAAGGGGGAGAAGATCCCAGCACAAGGAGTTAAGGCGGCTCCTTGGGCGGCTGTGGCTCAGGTTGGCCATGCTGTGGGAAGTGCCTCCAGGCTGGGCTTTGGCAGGCCCAATTTCCATGCCCTGGGCTTGGGGAAAGGATCATGGGGACATGGAAGTGTTGGGTGCAGGAAAGGCCTCCCGGAGCTGAGCCTGGCTTAGCTGAATCACAGCCACCCGAGGATCTGCCCTCCCCGGAGAAGAAAGCCACGATAACAGAGCTCCCGCTCCGGCAGCGAAGTCCAACCAGAACCAGTAGAACAGCACAAGTTCAGTGGTAGGACACAAATATTTGATGCTGGCAGTAATTAATCACTGTCCTCTGCAAGACGCTTTGAGTCAAAATGAGAGTTAATTCCAGGCAGTGCAATGGCCTTTGTCACCCCTGAACTGTCTCCGGCCCCAGATGCCGACAGGCTCCAGTGTCCCCCATCGTCACCGCAAAGAAGGATGGACCCACGTCCATCCCAAGGGCTCTTTGAGGACATGGCGTGGGGGAGAAAGAGCCCCATCTGCTTTAGTTAGCGAGGGCTGTTTCCAGCATCCCCTTTCCCGTGGGCCCAGCCCACAAGTGACATCCAAGGGGGTCCCAGCCCCATGGTCCCCTCTCCTGAGACAACTGCTCCCGGGGAAGGACTATACCCTGTGGCCTGTGTGAGGAAGCAAGCGCGCTGGCAGAAGTCTCCATCAGCGCTGAACAGACAAAAGTGCCCTGTTAGGTGCTCGCCTGGGTGGTGTTTCCTAAGGAGATAATAGTCGTGGAAGAAGGACTTGCTGTTTTGGAGAAGATTAAGTACCTGTGGGAGCAGCATGGATGAATCACATCCCTCATGGGCTTAGAGCCCCTGGAAATGGCTCATGGCACTTCGAAAACAATGTCATGAATCTTCTGCAGATGAGATTAGGGAGTGGAACAATTATCTCAAAACCTGTTAGTCATGGGAGGCTCCACGGAGCTGGAGGAACAGCCTAGGGCAAGGGGAGCACTAGGAAGATGTGGTGTCCCTCCCTCCGGGGACCTGCGTGAACAGTCCCAGGAAGGGTGTGGGAGGTGGCTGCGGTCGAACCAGCCCCGCTTCCCCTGAAGAAGGTGAGCTGTAATTAGCAGAACAGGTACGGAAAAGCTCAAGTAGGTCAAAAGGTAATGGGGCTATCACCAGCGTTTCCTAACAGCGCAGCACGGCTGGGAGGCACCCTCCGGTGTTGAGCAATGGGAATATCAACAAGGCCAGGCAGTAGTCTTCAAGGGAATAGCCACCAAGGTCACCCTAACCGCACGCTGGCCTTTTTTGGGGTGAGTTGGGGAACTGCCAAGGCTGGCAAAGGGTGCTGGTGGTCCAGCCCCACCCCACCGGACCTGTTGGTGAAAGCATCTATGGAAAGCCCTGACTGTGGCCAACAGAGCACACCACGGCTACCTACAACCCACCTTGAGGTGTCCCACAAGAAGGGCATCCCGAGACCATGCATGAAGAGCTCTGGAAGGGATGGATGAACAGACACCTAGCTCTGAAGGCGATGCATGAATTCATGTTGCAATTTGGGAATGGCCACATCTGCCCTTGCTGAAACACCATCATCAGTAAGGACGCTATGTTCTGGCTGTCTCTGCAAAGCACCGTATCCCTGACCCCGTTCCCTTGCATGGCCCAGCAGCTCCGGCTCGGCTGGTGTGGCGAGGGATGCTCTCTCTGGAGACCGCGTCTTTTGGAAAACAACCTTTCTCCAACAGGATTTTTCAAGCACTGGTGAAGTGATGGGTGGGGGTGTTTAACAGGGTCCTCTTCAGTGCACAAGTTCCCTGAGGCTCTGCCTTGTGGCCACCTCCGTCATTTTCACTGAGTTCAGTAGCCCAGTGCCGCAAGCGAGCGGATTCCTGCAGGAGAGCCCGCGGCCATGCTGTTGGGAACAGCCCTCCTCCTCCTCTACCTCGCCAGCATTCCCGGCATTCCCCCGCCTGGAAGAGCAGGGGTGAGAACCCAGCTGGGTCCCACCACCACACCCCGGCAAAACCACCCCAGCCTGTTTGACGCTGCACTTCTGCAGCGCTGTTGCCGCTGATGAAATGCTTTCTTCTGCCGGTACCAGGGGGGTTGCTTCCAAGAAGGATGGCACAGGCATCCGCTGCCATTGCTACCACCGTGCCAGGGTTCGCGGGGTCTTGGCAGGGGCGGCCGGCACCGACAGCAGCCCGGCTGGCAGAGCCCGGCTCCTCCAGGATCGGAGACCAGTGCTGATGCTGGCACGCGAAAGCCTCTTGCCCTCCACGCAGAGGGCACCGAGAGTCAGGCCCATGGCAGGGACGCACGAAGGATCACCGAGTACGGAGACTTGGTGAAATATTAAAGCAGGTGCTTAATAAAGCGAGCCCAGCGGCAGCAATTACCCTGTGTAATAAACCTGGAAAGGAGAGGACTTTGTCCCCCTGGCTGGGGCGGTGCGGGGAGCTCCTGCTGGCACTCACGGGAGGTGGCACGGACCTGGCACCCGGTGCTGCGCGGCAGGGCTTCCCCCGAGCCGCGCGGCCACAACCCGGGCAAGACC